TAAAATTAAGACTATTTATAATATATTAGCTGAATTTTGTAAATTATTTTTATATATTAATAATATTTTTATTTTAATATAAAATTAAAAATCTTGCAAATTTAAAAATAGGATTTTATAATAATAAATTATTACAAATAAAGTAATATAATAAAATAAAAAAAAATTTTTTAAATTAAAAAAATAATTTTAATATAGGTAAGTAATACATTATATAATATATATTTTAGCTTTTAGCTTAGAATATAAATAAATTATAATACATATAATTTTTTTTCATCTAAAAATTGAAAAGTTTAAAAGTTTCTCTTAATCTAAATCTGAAAGGAGTCTGTTAATAAATATATTCTTTTATAAGACTAATTTGAATTTTTAATTAACTTATTATTAGAATACTTACTTTGTCTGAAATTGTTATATTACATCTGCTTGTATATTACTTTATACAGACAAACTTAAAACAGATTCCGATTATTACAAGATGCTAAATACTAGGGATTTTAAATTTTATGCTTATTAATACAGAAATACAAAGTTCGGGTGTAGGCTGTGATCGCTATTCTCGAAAATATACTACATAATTACCAGTTATGTTCTCCTTTTTATCTCCACAACTTTTAAACCTAATTGTTAAATTTTAGCCAATGATATATTAATGGTCACATGATATTTAATTACTTATTTAGGAAGCAAATCCATATTTGAATTTTTTTCGCAAAAATGTCGTCGCTTGGTAATAAACCACCACCTAAAAGTATTCTCAAGAAGCCATCTATAAATTTTCAATCAAAAGTACCAAAGTAATCCTTTTTAAAATAACAAAGCTTAAGGTTTCAAAAGACATCATAAATGGTTGATAACAACCTTTTTTACGGTTCTTTTTTTATTATAGATTAAAATGGGACGAAGACAATATTCAATTAACCGAAGCACAGAAGAATTCAACAATGAAAATCACAGAACCTAAAACACCGTATATTCACTATAACCAAGAAACAGACGAGATTATGACCGATCTTGAAAGTAAGTTTGGTCGTATGCTTTTTAAAGTATATATTTATAAGAAAATTACTTATATATTTGATAATTTATAGCTATCCCTGGATTAGCACTGGGATCTAGTAGTATTGGCTCTAGTAGTAACCAAGGCTCTAGCGGCGTTTCTCCTGTAGGATCACTTTCATCGGTTTCTCCATCATCAGCTCATTTTCCTGATTCAATTAAAGACGATTGGGATTCTGAAAATTCCGAAGAGGGTGAAGAGAGTAAGTCTATTTGCTTACTTTAAAAACAAATTATTTATTTTTCTTGCTAATTTTACATTTCGTTTAATAGCTAAGGCAAAACGTAAGAAATTTGCTCAGCTCAGAGCAAAGCATTACAATATGAAGGAAGCACTTCGATTAGGTCATAAGTTGGTAGAAGAGGATGTAGATGATGAAGAAAATAGTAATGTGGTTGCTTTGAAAGCGAAATTTGCAAAATTATTACCAGACGAAGAAAAATATAGTGAAGAAGAAAAAAATGATAATAATGACTCATCATCGTCAACCAACGGAGGTGTGGCTCCCATGGAAACATAGTAAATTTTTTATTAATTTTATTTATTCTCATATTTTGAAAATACATTCCGATCTTTATTTTATTTTATATATTTATAAATTTCATAGAAGTTTTAGATTCTTCTCGAACGTATTTATAATCTTATAATTCGTTAATATATAATTTTCTGGGCATGATAATTTTGTATCATAACGTATATAGTTTTTCATTATAATATCAGTTATGTAATTTTCAATTTTAAAATTTATCGACTCAATTCGTTGATAAATGTTTTTCGCGTAATTTATTTAGATTTTACCAAAGGAGACAATAATTATAATATAATTTTCCGAATAAATTCTCTGTACATATTTTTGAGCAATTTCTTTGTAAGTTATCTAATCACTTTTAAATAGATCTTTTTTTTTTCTGTTAAACAAAGAAATATAGAGTTCATATCAATCATAAGAATACGTAATGATATGATAAAATGATTCATATGTAATTCATATGTATATAATAAATAAAATAATTTTTTCAATTTTATTAATACTAATAAAGAAAAAAGAAAGTTTTTTAAATAAAATTATTTGTATAATGAATTTAAAATACAAAAAAATTTTTGTAAATACTGTATAATATTTATAAATTTTTATTTCTGTACGTGAAATACGTGAAATAGAATTTTTTTAGATTAAAATGCATAACCTCTTAAATTTAGTCAAATTTCTCGGAACCTGATTTTCCTAGAAATCCTCCCATATATAATATATAATTAATAATCAATGTAGCTTTCTTCTTTATAATACATATATCTATTTGATATTATCAATTAACGTTAACTATTATATTAATGTAAAATCATCATGTTTCTTTTTAATTCTCTGAAATGATTAATGCTAATTTTTTTCTGGTCAATTTTAAATAATCTATGAAGAATATTTTCAAGCATTCCAACCTTCAAATATAAGTCTGAGAGTTTTGGATTGAATGAATATTCATTGTTGAATGTTAATCTCGTATCAATAAATGTATCGGTATCATTTGGATCTTGAATTGGCCACTTACATTATACAATTTCTATGAACTGAATTTATCGAATCAGAATATAATGCTCATAAATTACCTTATTTAGTTAAAACATCTTATCGATCAATTTCGCTGATCCTATAATTTAACTACAGGTAAACTTTATTTATTTAAATCTTTTTAGATGCATCGACTTACATTCTTTTCTCAAAAGAGTTCGTCATTATTTCGACCTTTGAGTTACTTAAAAAATGAGAAAATAATTTGTATTGGTGGCAATCGCCGTAATTCTCTTTCATTAATTCTGGAATCATCGCCACAACAATTATTTTATCGTCAAATATCATCAAAAAAAAGTGAAGCTAGCAAAAATGTCGGTGATAATAATGGTAATACGTTTTTTTTGGATTGTGTGTGTTTTTTTTTTTATTGCTAGTACATTCATTGGTGATGTCGTTCCAATTAAGCGATACAATTCACCACTAAGTACGTTATAATAAATTCTAATAGATTGACTTTTTGATAAATTCATGTTCAGGTGAACAAGATCCTCATTCGAAAATCATGGAAATTCTTCGAGAATCAACTGCAATGAGTCAGTTATAACCATATCTTCTTATGTAATGCCATTGAGTAAGAATTATTAAACATTTTTTCTTTTAAAAAAAGGTAATCAAACTCATGCTATCGAATCACAAGTTAAATATGGAAAGATTTTTCGATACGGGGAAGTACGTAATCCTAATCCTTACTAAAAGTCAACTATCTATTCTTATTAACTGGTTTTGATTTATGGATAGTTATATGCTCCATACGAATTAAATGAAGACAAGTACAAAGGTAAAAGAAATACGGGTAGATCTACGAGAAAACCACCAACTGTCGATATATTTAATGCTTTAAAACTTAATCCATTAGTCGAATACAAGGCAAGTAACTATTTCTTGTATTTATATTTCATTTTAACCATTTGAATGTTTATTGGAGTATTTATGGTAATTATGTAAAAAAATAAATAGAATTACAAGTTACTTTCCAATTTTGTTTCTGATATGGGTAGAATTCTTCCAAGGTCGATCACAGGTAAGCTTAATCGATAGGATAAACTTAAAATACTTTGAACCTGTTGAATTTTTATGCCTTATTAATTATCTAGGTTTGACGGCAAAAAATCAAAGAAAATTGGCAAAAGCTATTAAACGTGCAAGATCATTTGGTAGATTCCTTATTTCAAATTCTCTCCTCTCATTCGTCTTTTCATATTCATTAATTTCTAAATTCTTTTTATGTTTTTAGGATTAATCCCTTCTACACATAGACGCAAAGCTGATTTTTATGATGTAGAACTTATGATGTCACAAATGAAAAATAAAAAAGCTTCAGACTTTATGGATTTTGAGTGATTAGAATCTTTATAAATTATAGTTTTCAGTGTTTATAGTTCAACACTTAGATTACAATAATATTAATAATATTAATAAAAAAATTTTTTTTTTTTAATTTGAATACTTTTTTTTTCCTTTTTTCATAATGTATTAAATGTAAAACAAAAATTCCCAATTCCCGATTCTATAATCCAACCCACAAAATATTCTAAAATCTACAAATAATTTATGCAACATAAATACCCACGAAAACTGTTGATTTTTTTTTTTTTTTTTTGGTTGATTTTTATAGATACAATAATAATAATAATAAATAAATAAATAAATAAATAAAATCACACTGAAATTAATAAAAAATAAAATAAAATTACAAAGAAAAGTCACTCTCGCTCAGAAAAAAACTATCATACATTTTTAAAAAGGAATCTAGAGGGAAATAAAAAGATAAATTGACCATTGTTCATTGTCACCAAAAAAAAAAAGAGAGAGAAAGAGAATCTACGAGATATAGAAAGATTAATAAAGAATATCACAAAAAATCTATAAATTGGAACATAAGAATAGCCAAAGTCATCATTATACTGTTTAACAGTAGTAGTAACTTTTACACAAAAATCTGTTTGGACAAAAATTAAGAGTGCATAAATTGTTTAGGAAAAGAAGTGAGTATTATGCTTACTATCTTCATGAACCTGCATTTCAGACATTTTGTACTCATTTAATTCTTGTTTAATTCTTTGTGCAAGAATTGAAGTTAATTTGTTACAAGTAGACTGGTCACCACGTCGATCATAATCTTCGCGTGTCCAAGTTTCATGAACAAGAATAGACGAGGAAAATTGAAGTTTCTTCGCGGTAGGTGTGGAAGGTGCGGGTGATACATCAATATCCCTAACCACGACTAGAGAAGGATCAGAACGAGAAGCATTTGAATTGAGAGGAACAGGAACGCTTAATCGTCTTGGAGTTGGAGAAATAAGTGAAGGTACTTGATTCTTTGCAGTCGCTGGTAACGATGATGGTCGTTTAATGTCACGTGAAGGTGGTGGTTGTAATGATGATGATACCGGGGAATTGTTATTTTGTTCTTCACCATGGTTTTCTGATTTCTTTACACGAAATGGATTTTGAAGAGGTGAGGTAGAATTTTGATGATGGACCTTATTTGATGAAGCTTGTTGATCATTCAAGGACTGTAATGATGAAGCTCGTGGAGGAATAGGTGCTTATAATAATTACCAATATTTTGAGTTAGTAAAATTTTATCTCTAAATCAATTAATAAATCGAAACTATATCCTTCTCTCTTACCAGAATCGTCGCTCACTTGTTTGTTTCCGTTTCCGTTTTCGTTCCCAATCGGTTGCACTTCATTCAAAGAATCATCCCTTTCATTAACCTGAATTTGATGATATGAAAATGATTGTTCAAGTTTTGATTTATGACGCTGTTGTTGGTTATTTTGACGATCTTTCTTGTTACGTTTATTTTCGTTTTTGGAAAATAATGATTGAAAATCAAATGTTCGACGACGAGATTTGTTGTTGCTGTTAAAATCTTTTGTAGTGGCAAGAATATTACCGTTAGATGAAGTTGATGATTCTGATGTATCATCATCTTTATCATTGTTATTAGATGAAGAATTATCGTCACCATTTAAATTGCAAAGGTGATATTTTTTTCCTCGAAGCGAAGAAAATCTATGATTAAAGACGGGTGAAGAAGGTCTAGAATTAGCAGTTGATGAAGGGACAGATGTCTTACTATTAGAATTATGGTCATCTTGTCTAATATTGCTTAAACTAAAAACCTTTCTTAATTTTTTTGTAAATGATGGTTCTTTATGTATGGATTTTCTGAGTTCAGTACTTGAACCACTAGCATTATTATTTAATATAATTGTGTGTCGAAAAAATCCTCGATTATTTGGTTTTGATTGTGAATTTTGCAAATTGGAACTATTGTTTGATTGGGGATTTTCAATAAGGTTTTCACTGTTCTGAATGGAATCAGTTGAAAAGGTACGCCCATGACTCTTATTTGAAGATGATTTATCTAATTCATTTCCTTTTTGACTTGGATTATCGTCATCATCATCATCCTTATTATTATTATTATTATCAGATACTTCATCTTTTTCAATTGTTTCAATTTTTTGTATTTTATTAATATCCAATATTTCTTGCTTTACTTCTATATGTTGTTGCATTGTTGAAGACTTTGGTGAATTTTTTGGCGATGAATTTTCTTTTGGAGAGGACTTCGGCGATCTAATTATATCCGTCTTTGAAGGTACATTAATGATTAATGGGGTAAAAGATTTCTTGTTTAATGACTTTGTAGTTGAATTATTAATAATATTATTATGTACGACTGAATTTTCACCAAAACTAGCTGCTCTTCTTCGCATTTTAGGTGACTTATTGCTACTATTGCTACGGGTTATTTGATGTTGTAAATGTGAAGGAAAGTCACCACAATACATACTATGTCGATTAGTGGAGGATGAGTTTCGCGGTACGAAACGTGGAAAAGAATTGGGATTTTTAAAGTCGTGGTAAAGGTTATTAAAAGAATGAATACTTTTATTCGCTCCCTTTCCAGTTTGGTGCTGCGGTAAAACGGCAACAGTTTCAAAGATAGGAAGTCGTGGTAAAGCTTGTTGAGCATGTGGAGGAAGGAAACTTGATAAAGAAATTTTTTCATCCGTTAATGATACTAAGTTCGATGCTTCACTGGTTTGTGGATAATTGACTATGGAGACGGCCATATTTATTATTATAATTATTGTTATTATTATTATTATTTATTATTATTATTATTATTGAATGGAATCAATGGGAAACAAAAAAAAAAAATTTAAAAAAAAAAAAAAAACTAAGGCTTTTTTCTTGGAAGAAGCATGTATCCTAAAAATTCTAAAAGAAGTTGACATACCCATACATAGATTTATATAGATTTTCATATTATGTGTTCATTCCATATACAAAGTGTACAAATTACTTGTACATAAACAATTATTTATTGGGAAATTTAAAAACTAATAAGATTTTTTTGACTTATATTTGTTAAGATTGATAAAACAAAAAGACAATATTACGACGCAGGACATCTATTCGATATTATGATTTCAACTTTCGAAATAGAAAATTTAAAACTCTAATTTGGTTCACCAAATAAGGAAAATTTAAATATCATGAAACGAGAGTTTCGAAACAAATAAAAAAATTGGTTACAATCTTGCCTAAAATGGATGGAGTAATAGATATGATGAAATGTGTTCGATTTAAAAATATCCTAATAGACGCCACAATAATACTGTCGTTCATCGTTACATTGTACGATAAAACAAAAAAATGGATTTTGTTTAATTGAATTCTTTCTTATAACCCGAAAATCATGTAAAACCTTATTATAATCACTACCAATTATTTTTAAGTGTTAATTTAACATCATTACTAATATAATAAATATTTATAAATAAAGTAAATCCATTTAATATACAGTAAATAATGAATGACCAACTATTAATATTACCTTTTTTTATATATATAAAGAAATTACTTATAGTATTAAATTTTCACAATTATTAAATCAAATTTATATTTCTATTTTAAATAATATATTTATGTATTGTTATATTTATAATATATTTACATATCAAATAACAAAATTATTATTATTTTTTTTTATTTTTAAATTTTAAAATTTTATTCTTTTACTTTAATTTATAATTTTTTAAATTATAATAAATTATATGATATATTAATATTATATTTATAATAATAGCAGAAAAAAATAAACATAATAAAAATAATTAAGTATTATTACAATTATATTATCTTTTTAAATGTATTGCAAACAAATTTATTTACAACTTTATTTAATAATTATAATAAATTTTATGATATTTTCTAAGTAAAAATTTAAAAAAAAAAATGTAATTAATTAGTAATATTTTAAAGATAAATATATATTAAATTATCATAAAAAAAAACTTGTATATCTTGTTATCTATTGATTTTTAAAATATAAAAAATATAATTATTTAATAGGTCTTAATAAGATAAATCCAATAAACTAAATTTTATTTTTTGTAATCATTAGACAATAAGTTATTTTAAAAAAATTAAAAAATTGAAAAATTGATCTATATTAATAATTACTAATATTAAAATTTAAAAATATTATTATTAGATATATCTTAATATAACAAATCTAATTAATAAATTTTATTTCATTTTTTTATGATCATTAAATATTATAATATTATAATTTTTTTATAATATTTTATAATCAATTATATACCTATGCTTTAAGGAATAAAAAAATTTTAAGAATTAGTATATAGCAAATATAATTTAAAATTATCAATTAAATTTCAATAATTTTTTATAATAAAAGTATATTTATTATATAAATTGATTATAAAAACTACTAATTAAAAATAGATTATAATATATATAATAAATTTTAGATTTCTGAAAGTTATCAATTTATTTAATAATCCTAAAAACTTATTTGAAATAATAGAATTATTAATTTAAATCAATAAAAATAAAAATAATAATGATAGATTAGATTTTATCATATTAATTTAATAAATTAAATTTATAATAATAAAATTTGATTTTATTAATAGAGCAATTAAATTAATACACTTTAATAATTCTAATAAGTTTTATTTATAAATATATTAATTTATAAAATTTCTAATTTTTTTTAATATAAATACTTAAAATTATTTTTAAATTTTATATCAAAACTATATAAATTTTCATCTTATTTATAAAAATTTCTAATCTATTTCTATTACTAATTAAAGATAAAATAAAACTAAAAAATTATAAAAAATTATAAATTTTATTAATAAATTAATATAGCATATATAATTATTATAAATAAAAAAAATTAAAAATAAAAATATAAAATCTTAATTATAATAATTTTTATTTTTAATTATTAAATTTATTTAAATATATAAATTTAAATATAAATTATTTATAAAAAATTTTATATGATAAAATTATATATTTTAATATAAATAATTAAAAAAATAGTTTATTTTTTAATTTTTAAATAAATAATTTTATTATAATAAAAAGTTTTATAAAAAAATTAAAAATAAAAATAAAAATAAAAATTCTTTTATTACTTGAATTAAACTTTTCATTTTGATACTAAAGTAAAATAATTTAAAAATAATTTTATTAATTTTATTAAATACTTAATAAAATTTTATCATTTAATAAAATTATTATTGTTATTTTTAATTTTAAATACTTATCTGTTAAAAGTATTTAAACAAACCTAATAAATAACTATAAAATTGCAATAATTCATTATTTAGTAATTATAGAAAATAAAATATATTTCATTAGAATTATTATAATAAATTATATTTAATAGTGATATTTTATACTTTTAGAAAAAAAAATTCTATAAAATTTTAAAAATAGTTTTTTAAATAAATAATTCTAATGATACATATTTTATATTTCTATGATTAATAAATGTCAAAATGCATTAAAATTTAAAATTACAAAAATTAAAATAATTAATAAAAATATATTATGCAAAAAAATTAATTTACTTTATCTTACTATTTAGTGATAATATATATTATCAAAATTGTTATAATGAATATGTTGAATAATGATAAATTTATATCTCTAGTATTAATAAATAGAAATTTATTAAAAATCTATTTAACTTTACAAATATCTCTTTATATATCAATACTAAAGATATAAAAATATTTTACTTAATGTATTTTATTATGATAATTTTAATATATATATTTAATCATCTTATAATTACTAAATAATAAGATAATATAAACCTATACTTTATGTAATATAATTTTTTTATCAATTTTAATTTTTGTAATTTATCAATATTAAAGATATAAAAATACTAACATTAGAATATCTCATTATTATAATTCTAATAATATATATTTTTATTTTTTATAATTACTAAATAATGAGTTATTACAATTTTACAATTATTTTAGATTTATCTAAATATTTATAGCAAGAAAATGCATATTCAAATAAATATATATTTACTTATATAAATAATATATATAAATTATTTAAAATAATTAAAATTTAAGATAATTTGCTTATAATATTATAAAAAATAAATATATTTTACAAATTATTATATATATTAAAATTGTGTTTAATTTATTCAAAATTTTCAGATTAAATTTAAAACTGAATTTAATTAAATTATATATATAATATTTTATATTTAATTTAATTTTATATATAATTATTTATTTATTATAAAAAAATTTTAAAAAAATTTATTTTTTTTTTTTTATAAAAAAATAATTTAATTTATTATATAACTAATGATTTATTATAATTAAAAAATTTTATTATAATTAAATATTTTATTATTTTAATATTTAAAAAATAATGATTAAATATATTTAGTTTTATTATTTAAAGTTTTTTTTTTATATTATAAGTCTTTTCTTAATTCTTTTCAAAATAGTTTGTCATAACTTTTATTATATTTTATAATAGTTTTATTAATTTTAGCTTTTATATATTAGAAAATTTTTATTATATTCCTATTAATACTATATTATTTTTTAATAGTGATGATAGTAATATTAATATTTATATTAATACTTATAAATTTTATATAAAATATTATTGATAATTATATAATTAACTTTTTCTAAATATATTCCTTTAAGACTATATTGAAAATTTGAAAATATTAAAAAGAATATACATTTTAAGAGAAAATTTTCTATATAATTTTTATATGTTTAAAATTAAACAAAAATATGTATTTAGGAAGAAAATATATAGTATATGTATTTAGAAAGGATGTATTTAAAGAGAATTGACTGTAAAGTAATAATATAAATATAATAATAATAATATTATTATTATTATTAATAATAAAAGATAAAATATTAATTAAAATTATTTTATTTTATTTTATCTTAAATAAATAAATACTAAATTAAATTTTCAATTTTTTTTTTAAATTAAATTTCATTTTAAGTAAAAAAAACGTTTAAATCTTTTATTAAAGAAAAATTTTATAAAATTTATATTTAGATAATAAAAAAAGTCTAAACAATTTTGAGATAACAAAAGTAATTTAATTAATTATATAAAGTCAAGTTTTTAAAGAAAAATACATAATTTATATAAATAAATACATTTAAATATATATTAATAGATTATTATAATCTATAATAATAAGTAAATAGAATTTTTATATCAATTATCTAAAATTAATTTAAAATTCATCAACAATTATATATAATTTGATAACATTGATTCTATATTTACTAAAAAAAAAAGGAATAAAACGTTATAATAAAATTACATAAGCAAAAATTCATAAATACCGCTGAATGGTGAATTTTCGCGCGCTTCATAAAAATTTTTGTGCTCGTACATAACATTTCTTATAAATCATTATTAACACCATTTAATATATAAATAATATTTGCGCACTACCATTACAATTTTCGCAAATATTCTCATAATATAATAATTGTGCAATTTGAATATCATCCATTTAAGACTTTTTTTAAAAATGAATTCCAAATTTATTAGATTTTCAAAGTATATATACAATGACCTACCTTACTGCGACGCATGGAACGAATCCTGCTTTGAGAATAATATGAATTGAGACATTAATCATATGAACATGCACATAATGAAAGAAAATTTGTGTTCGCAATGATCAGATGACTCCTGTAACATTCATTTATGTCAACGTTTGAAAGAAAAAAATCTAAAATTGGAAATGTCATTGTCCTTAAATTTGGTTTGTTGCTTTAATTAAAAACTCACCTTTGAATGGGTATAAATAGTGTTCTAAAAAAAATAACACCACTAAATATTTTTTCTTTACTTATGATGAGGTAAGTAAATAAAGAATGGTTGCATACGTAGGCTTAATATGTTACATATAATATAAATATTTTTGATTTTTGATTTTATTAGATCACCTATTGAAACAGCTGCCACTCTTATAATAACTGGTATCTTGTCTGCTTTATTCGTATATTGTTCCAAGAATGAAGATGACACAATAACGGCTAGGGAAGGCAACATAAATAAAGATCCTTCTAACACCAATGATGACTCCGATATAGAAGATTGGGTTGAAATTGGGATGAAAACTGAAATCTCTAATATCGAAAAATAACTTTCTATCATTTTGAGTTAATAATTTCCACAGCAACATATATATAATTTAATGTTTAATTGATAAAATTAGTAGTTTTTTTAAGAAAGCCTGTTTAAAAATGACAAATTTTGTGACTTCATATTATATTTTTTACATTTTTATCTTTCTTTAAATGGGGGGATTGGGTAATATGGATAATATATAAAATAAAAAATAAATTTTGATAACTATAACTTTCACTTACGTAATATCACGTAACATCGCGTAACCATGCGAAATCGGCCTTAAAAAACCCGTTTTTGAGATACTGTACCTTAATATAAACCCCCAAAAAAATTTTTGTGTATTTCTTTAATCATCAAATATGAGTCAAGAATTAAGTACAAAAGATATCGCAAGAGAAATTTACGTGATATTATATTCAAAGAGAAAGAATGAACAGCGGATTATGATTAAAACTTATTTCGACGTGAATGCTGGTAAGTTAAAAATAGTCTTACATAATAGACTCCGAAATTTTCTCAATATATATATATATATATATTTCATAGTTTTAGAGGAACCAATCATTTATGTACAAGGCCACGAAGCAATAATCCGGCAATTTCTTCTCATGGCCACGATATTTATCTCCATTACCACAGAAATATATTCAATAACTGATTCCGTAATAGCTGGAGATCATCATATAGTTACTATTGATGCCATCATTAAATATCGACTTCCTTTGAAACCAATATTATTTCGTCAAGAGATTGAGTTAAGGACAATTACGAAATTTGAATTTAATGAACAAAAAAAGATCGTTAGACATGAAGATATTTGGAGTATAAAAGATTTACTTGAACATTTGCCATTTATGGGGTGGATTTATTCTTATTTTGGAAGGAAGTCGATTGGACTCATTACAAATCAATTAGTAGAATGGGTGAGTACGAGAAGTTTGTGATTGAAATTATCAAATATTTTGAGAGGTAAGGAATTCTTTTAATTTTTTTAATGCTTTATACCTATGAGATATTGAATTTTTTGTACTTTTTAGCATTTCAGCATATGTTTGATCATTTCCAACAGGTTCATCAGGTTGAAAAATGGGATCCCATCCAAAATCTTTGGGTCCACGTGCTGGAACAATCTTGCCCTGTACATTAAATTAATATCACTAAAAAAAAATTCAAAAACAAAAAACAAAAAATTAAAAATTATAAATACATCAGTACGGCCTTCGAATAATATTGGTTCAGAATCTGGACCTGAAGAATAAGCAAATGTGCATAAGGCATATGCAGATTTATCTTCAAATCCTACCAATAATTTGTTTAAACCATCATGTTCCAATTTATCCAAAAACCATTTTCTGGTTGAATAATAAATTATAAAAAAATTTGAGTATATTAATATTAAAGCAATTTATTAACATTGACATACATACATGTATGGACCCGGTAAACCTTTCAACGCATTGAAACAAAGACACGTATCTTCTGTTATTACAGGTCCATTCAACTATGGACGAGAAAAGGAATTTAATAACATACAAGATATTTCTAAAAGTCAATTGTTATTCACGTACCGCAATTGAAGCTTTACGACACTTTTCAACCGAAATTTCTTGCGTCGTTCCTTGAATTTCTGCTACTATTTATCAGAAAGTAAATTCGCATCAGATGAAATTTTCCAAAAATAAAAAAATACGAAATTATAAATTATTGTACATACGGTCGAGTTTATGATTTATCAGGTTTACAGTCGATCCTAGAATAGTTTGAACTTCTTTAAGTTTATTGCTGTTACCAGTGACAAAAACTACAAAAAAAAATTCAATTTATTAATATATATGGTCAAGCAATAGTAATTTCTTGGTTAGTACCTAATTTTGTAGGTTTTTTCGTGGCCATAATAGTCGTTAAAAATGGCAAGAAAACTATTTATAATCTCGTTTTTTTTTTAGATTTTAATCTGTGATCGTTGCCGATCGGCAGATCGTCGTTGTTATATCAGTTGTACAAATTCTTTACAATTATGTATAAATAAAATAAAATAAATAATAGTGATAATTTAATAGTCATCAATCCCAATTAACTTCATTAGCAACATCATTATTCATCATCTGTACATTCGTCATCGAATGAACTTAAAACACGTAAAACATGTTGAAACATCTTTGCCATCTCATCATCATCATTTTTTGATATATTTTTGTACAAGTGTACAAAACATTCTTTCCCTATTTTCCTCCTCGCTGAGACTTAAATTATTTAATTCATTAAACTAAAAAAAAAATTTAATTATTTCATTTGATTTCTAATTTTTGTTACAACTAATCCACTTACCTCCTGATCCACACTTCTATGATCAACTGAAATAGGTTCATTACCAGGAAATAAAGGTCCATTAGATATAGTTTTTTTTACTTGTATACAATTTATGTATATTCTCTTGATCGTCTGATAATGGAGCAAATCCAAGTACTGAAGCTGATGACCCATATTTTGCTACTAACGTTTCCTCAATCGCTAAAATACTGACTAACGCATCATCTACGCTTCCAACATATCGAAGACACAACTTTTACGTCGTTTTAATTAATATAGAATCGGAATGAACAATTTCATGGGTATCAAGGATGATTTAATTAATATACTGTATATCGACGAATTGATTGTAAAGGTTACCTTTGCATGACATCTCGCTATTTTTAATAATGACTATTTGCAAAGAAAATTTTAATTATCTTCTCAAAATTCGCGAAATATTTTCTTAATAAATACCTCAAAGAAAGCTGTTGAAGAAGTGAACCCTTGACTTGCACCTTCGAGTTTACGACACATTAAAAAATATCTACGCAAAATATCTTTACATTCCGTTGATAACCTAATCAAAATAATAATAATAATAATAATAATGTGGAGATAGGTCATAATAATTAAACAATTATCTGTTTACCTGACTTCAATGCTACTAGCTACTGCAATGAACTATATAAGGAGATTTAATATCGTATTATCTGTTATTACTTTTTAATACAATAATATTAATATTTAACCTGCTTGAATTCTTCAAAGGCCAGCACGGTTAATTTTTTTTTATGTTCCTTTTCTTCCAAATATATAGCTTCTTGTTCAAGCAAATGATCCACTAGAAATATGTTTTCCTCCGAATCGATTGACTCATTAAGGTAAATAACAAGATGAAAGGTGCTGAAATTATACAAGAAAGAAAAATAAATGATTAAAATATTTCTAAGGAAAAATTATAAAATTCGTCACTCACTCAATTATTGATTTAATAGCATCATTACATATCCTCTGAAATTAAATTGTGCAAATTAAATTATGCAAATTGTTAAATAACCATATTAAATCTACTTTTAGCATACATCAATTCCTTCGTTTTCTGAAGATCCTGTTTGATTGCCGAAAGTCGGTTTGGCTACAGACCATCCCCAACAACAAGTATCCAAATGAACTCGAAGATTTTGTACCGATAATTTTGAGCTTTTACTCATAACTAAATAAAATACGAAAAGATAATCTGATGTGACAGGGAAAGGCTAATTGTCTAGATCAAAATTACAAACCTAATTTTAATGACTCGGTGCCATGCCTATCCAAAGTATCCAAATTAACCAAAAGAATACCATCTCTTGATCCCGCAAGAATTGAAGCTGAAAAAAAAAAAAAAAAGAAATTTTATTATTAAACATTAAAATAAAATCAATCGATTAATGATATATATCACACATTCAATATACGATTCTTTTCCCGTATGTTGTTCATCTTGTAAAACAAAAAGAGATTGCTTCTCTTTATCTAAACCATGAGTCCATTCCTCATGTCTAAATCAAAAGGATTTATATAAAATATAAAACATAATATGAAAGGGATTTAAACAGTTTATTTAATAAACCTTTTTAATTCTGATGCTCGTCTCATTATTCGTGGAACGATAGGATTAAATCCATTGCTCAAAATCATAAAGTGGACGCTGGGTGAATTTCCTTGTTTTTTTGAATTTTGCTCAGAAAGAGCCATTAGACTATAATCCATTAATAGGGTATAAAATTTATAAGATCATTAAATGAAATATGATTGTGATTGCATTTATATTCAACCTTAATAACAAGAATAACTTAATTTTTCTACACGTAGGTCGTGGCGCGATGTCGTCTAATTAAATAAACACATTGTTAATTTCTAAAATTCACAATTCAGCAAACTGAACATTTAATTTACCACAAAATACGTCTATAAGTCGTTGTGTGAATGCCCATGCTGATAAATTGGCTAAGCGTCAAGAAAAAAATACATTACTACACAGTTAATATTCATTTTTGCCGGAAACACATGCGATTATATATTACCCTTTTGAAGACTGACTATGACATCTGGCAAAACGCATGAATGATTTTCATCAAAAGATCTCTCGGAAATTCTTATTTTATTCTACATATAAATAATTAAAGAAAAGTTTAAGTATTCAACCATTTTAAATGATTAATAAAATGTTGAGTTTATAATTAAAAGTTACCGAGTTTACACGTTTTATATTATTGACCTATTTAGAATTAGAATTTATTAATTTTTGATTTGAGAAACATAATATAAAAATCAGGAATTTATACCTCGATGTGTAATCCATTATCATACCAAGAATTAGTGCAATATATTCCATCTTTCAAATGAATAACGATAGTAAATCAAAAATCAGAATAGGTTAAAAAAAATTAAGAATCAGATTTACCATTTAACGTGGGAAAATGTCTTCCAAAAAGTCCAATGACATCAATAATTTGACCAATTTCAATATTATTCACTAACTCGTCTGATTGAATTAATAAATTTGCTCAAATCAACTAATCTTTTATATTTAAGACGCGACTTAAAATGAATTGCTGTTCACCTTCGACAAAAGCAAGTATGGAATTTGTGAATGATCCATCGTTTTCGTTTTCATTCACACATGACAAACGAATACGTTGGCGAACTTTAAAGAATTAGATGAAATCAATTAAAAGTAATTAAAGCCACCGTAATTACATACTTGTATAGACTCTATCAGCAGTCATTTCTTTCATTTCTTGTTCACAATGACTACAATATAAATCAATGTCATGTAACGTGGCACTATCGAATTTTCATAAGTTTTGGTCAAAACGGTTTGATTATACAAGTATATAGTTTGAAAGTTTTCAAGAATACCTAGTACTTGTATTTAAATATTCCTTGTCTTCGGTACGCTTAATTACGCGATTTGTTCGAGCATTAGGAACTACGTGAAGATAACTCTTATTGCGGCATTCAGAGTTATAACAACAAAAAGTATGGCTGAAGCTAAATAATTCAACAGCAATATTGGATTCAGAGTTATTATCAATCTGAAATCATGCGTCTCATGCACCTACATCACAAATGTTGGGATCCATACACATTCAATAATTCCTCTTATGGTAGCAAAAAATGGGTCCTTACTGTGTCGCGTTTTATAAAATGCTGTTGAATATTTATCCATTCGATACCTTACAAACGAAATAATCGAAAGTTTAAGCAAATTTTAGGTAGCCCATATCGTAAAGGCAAAACATACATACTCTGGTATGTCTGGAAGGTATTCCAAGCGAATTTTACTTCGAACTTGCTCAGCCATAAGAATTTCATCAGGTCCAAATGTTGATTGTAGAGTAAAAAGACAAGCCTCAGTAAAGTCCTCGTTTAAATATGTCGAAACAAAGTCATTAAGCAGACGATATCCAAGGGTCGCTAAAAGAATAAAAAGTTATATTATGTAAAATTTTTGCAAAGAAATCAAGAATTTATATGTTTTTTTACGATCAAATTCCGATAAAATTATTGGATCAATTCGTAAGAGAATATCATATCGATTGATATTGGAATTTAGCTAGATGTAAATAGTCATGAGTAATGTAAATGAATAATATAATTAGAAATGTATATATGATTAGAAGTTAACAACATACTTGAGACCTTATGGTTCGGGAACGTTCCTTGGCCCCACGAATAGCTATCATATGATATCTTTTCAAATCTATAAAATTGAAGTCAAATGTCAAAGCTATGCGTTATCCTACCTTTAACTTAATTAACTTACAAAGCATAATTTTCTTTAATTTATCCGTTTCAATAGGCGACGAATGTCGATAAATCGGATGAATTCCAGAAGTTTTGAATAATCCATCTGCCTATAAAATACACTTTTCCATTAATAATCAATCTTTATGAGTTATATAAGACGAAATATTTACACTATAATGACTTTCGCATCGTTTTCTTTTATTAACATTAATATTTTTTGGCTTTAAAGAATATATTTCTCGAAATTCTTGTAATTTTTCATATTTTTCATCTTCTTGTCTTGAACTAGATGGATATATCGCTGGAATAGCCGTTTCATCAATTGGTTCTGTTATGATCTGCATTAGATCTGTTTCTTGATCCGTTTTGATCGAATTTATAGATGACGCGTCTGTATTATCTAAAAATATAGAATCCTGTTGTATATTTAATTGACGCGTGGGAGTTGTTGCTTCTCGTAACAAACTTTCGCGTTTCCTATCTATGCTATCAAGTATCGCATCGGATGGAATCAAATTTGGAATTGTACCAAGAGATGCAAATTGTAATGTTGATTTTGATGAAGATGGAGTCGGCGGGAATATATCATTAGTAATACTTGCACGTTTGGTGGGTATAATCACGTTTATTGATGAGTTATCTTTCATGGTAGATGATGAATCATTCAACTGATTATTTCCTTGTTTCTTATTGTCGAACGCGTTGCT